AATTTGTTAGCGAGTGGCTGTCTCAACAGTACAGTGGTAACGCGCTGGACTCCCGATCGAGATGCACCCATATGTTAAATAGGCTATATTAAAAATCGCAATTTTGATTTTACGATATTAAGTTATCTGTACAGAAATATTTATAAACATTTTTTGTTCATATTTGAATTATAATAGGCCTATATATCATGATAGTTTTGTTTACTGCTTTTTGTGAAATAATAACAAACCTGAGCACGAACAATACCTTTAAATTAAATTATTGATCTGTAATTAATTAAACTTACATTAAAATCAGAAGCAGTTTTTCTTAATGACTCATTATGATTAATAACTCTATCAGCCGCCTGCTCAAACACCTTTGCTGACACACTTCCTCTATCAGTCTTTCTATTTATACGTGCGAACCATAATTGCTCTCTTTTCTAGAACTATCCCGTATCTTGGCGAATGGTCTAGTAATTACTAGGAATAGGGTACGCTGGTATATAGAAAAAGGTAATGTGTGTGGAGTTAGTGAGTAATTGATCTGCGGTCGGAGTATTATTGACATTCGTTGCTATAGCGTTTGTTTAGCGCGATTGTTGAAGTTAAGTGTATCGGTTAAGTTATATTCGGAAAGAATAAACCGGTTTTATTAAGTAAAGGCTTGTGTCGCTTAAGTTTCGTCGGTACGAAGTTACGGAAAATCAATTAAAAAAAACGGAGACGTAACAATATATATATATATAGTTTAACATTATTCAATCGTATATTAGAATATATATATAGGGGAGACCGGGGCTAGTTGTTACAGTGGCAAGTTGATACAGTGCCTCTAGCTCTTGTTGAGATTAATAGACGGCGATAGTTCACGGACCATCGAACACGTGTTGCGCAAGTTTTGTTTTAATGTACATTTTTTTGTTTTTGCGTACCTAAACTAAAAGAGAAGTGTCTAGGAAATATCTATTTACTCTTTATATACTGTGTTTTGATACTGTTCTTATTAGTTGTAGACTTCGATAGTTAATACCTTTTAATATACGATAACATTGAGTTATGTTGTTTGACGATGAATTAGTATGGAGACATTGTTATATCCCACGTCGATATGGGGCATGTTGTTACATGCTGTAACAACATGCCCCAAAGTTCATCAAAAAGGTGTAATGCACATGAAATATTAATGAATTATATTTTTTTTACAGATCAATTGCGATATATATGAATGTGTTTGTAGGTAGTGAGTAATTGATCTGCAGTGAGAAAGTATCGTTGAAGTTAACGTTCGTTATAGCGTTTGTTTTAGCGTGATTGTTGAAATCAAGTGTATCGTGAAGTTATATTCAGCAAGAATAAACCAGTTTTATTAAGTAAGGACTTGTGTCGCTAAAGTTTCGTCGGAACGAAGTTACGGAAAGTTAATTAACAAACGGAGACGTAACAGTAGTATGTTTAAATTGAAGACCTGAGTAGAAAAAGTATTTAAGTCACAAAATAATATTTCCAAGAAATTTTGGTCTGAATATTTAAAGCGAACATGGAAATCACACTATGCCAAGGCAACCTGCTATATTTCTAGGCATTCAACACACATATTTCCAGAGCCAAATATCTTTCATTACGAGATTTTTTAGCAAAAAATGATTTTGACTTAAGTACTTTTTCTTCTTGACCCTGGAATTGGGTATATTTATCACAAATACAAAACAAGTCAAGATACCTTAACTTATCCACAGAATTTAACCATTTCATTCAGTTAGTTCCCATGCATATTCAACCTTGCACTTACTAGGTCATTTACCAAACATTTATCTAACTTTTGAATTGATACAAGTCATTTTGTGGTGTCTCACCATCCTCATTTCAGCGAAAAATATTAAAGAGTTTAAATGTAATCGATGAACGTTCATAATTATTCCCTATCGATATCACTGATGTAAATAAGAAAAGCAAAAGCTCAAACACTAATCCCCTAAGCACTCCACTAGTGACAAAAGTCCAATCTGACAGGATTGTTTAGTATCAAACTTTTGCTTTCTTCCATCCAACCACCCTACAATTCAATTAAATAATTTTCCCCAATCTCTACTGATGTGATTTTCGTAGCTACTCCTTCACGTGGCACTTTTTGAAAATCAACGTACGTACATTAAGTTTACACCCTTTTGTTCATTTAGAATTAGATAATAAGTGAAGTCCTCGAAAAAAATATAACAGATGGCAGGGCAATCGATGCGTGAAAACCACTTTTATATTTAGTCCTTTTAAAATACAGCATGTAAATTTAGAAAATCGTCATACTATATTAAGGTAATATGTTACTGTTAGGCTTATGTGTAACCATTAAGCATAATCTTATAAAGAATTAGTTAAAGTGACTAATTCAAAAATAAGTATATATGTTTACATAATTATTCAAACAACTTGGCCATATTTAAAATACTAACGAGTTTCTAATTTCTAAAATGATTGCTTTGAACAAGATCTGTTTTTGTTATATTTTTATAACATAAAATCATCGGAAAAACACAACGTCGAAATAAAACCGTTATAATCTATCTAACGAAGTTTGGACTTCGAGCAACTGCTCTTCGCCAGGCTTGATATTTAAATAAGATGAAAGACAAAAATGATCATATCTGTTTTCATCATTATCCAAATAGCTTGAATAATTGATTTAAACCTATCTCCATCTCTCTCAAGATATATATATATATATGTAAACGCATATAAATAGTTGAAACTACAATAAAAACATTTAAAGAAAAGGGGATCATTTGCACATTTAAGAATAAGAGGCATTTCGGTACCTAATTTAAAAATCAATCATTAACCTTTTACATACAGCAATAACTCGTGTGCGTATCAACATGTGTCATTATGATTGGTATCTAGTACTTGTAGAATAACCAATCATTACTAATATGATTACCATATAAAGATCAAACCATTTAACATCATGTAGCCTGTAAAATATTTTGTTAGAGTTTTCAATGAATTTTAAATATATTTGGTAAAATTGGATTTTGAAAACCAAATTTAAGTTGAGTAGCAGAAATTTATTCAGTGTTTAAATTTAAAATAAAAATAACTTAAGAAGGTAAGAAAATCGCAATTTGTTAGGCTTTAAGTTTAACTAAAGTTTAAGATTATTTTATCAGGAATAGAAGGTGCGAGAGATTAGGCCTCTCATTTTTTGTCTCATGTGTTTTAATTTGTATTCTTAAGATTTGCTTATGGGCCTAGAACTAGCTTTAAAGTATGTAGTAATATTACTACTAGTACTAGTCATAGTGCAATGTTATGATCTAAAACTTGTAAAAGAAGAAACTTTAAATTGTAAGGTTACCATTTTCTAATGATAGTAATACTAATATTTATCCAACCTCTGCTGAAATATTTAGTGAGTAGATTATACATATAAGTTAGAATTAATTGCATGTTATTAGTGTTAAATGTTTAAAAAAGTAAATGATTCTCAGTAAATCACTAAATCAAATGTTCACTCATAAAATATATACATAAACTGATATAGGGTTACTATATTTCCAAATTCCAGAGTGAAACACTGGAACATTTGTTTTTTTTTCATTTTGCACTGAAACAGTAAATTAAAATAACACTTGCTAAATGATCTTATGTTTATTGCACTGTATTTAAAACCACAGGCAAACAAAATTTGTTAAAAGCTTGTCTTGTTAAAATAATAATGTAATGGGCCTAATTTGTCTTGAACCTACTCAGAAAAAAAATGTTTATTTTCTTTTTTGTTGTTGGGCATGTTCTCAAATCTCAATTCCTGTGGATACCCAGTGACAGATTTAACCCCTCTGTAATTTGCCCGAGATAAAAACCATGATTAAAAAAAAATTGTACAAGTTAATTTGGACAAACCATTTCTTTCTGTATTTTTAATTGTTTACCAAAATTTATCATGTATTATGATAAGATATCAAAAAGTGAAATAAAAAAGCTGCCTATTTTAAAATTTAAAATTATTAAAAAAATGGACACAGAAGGTGTTCAAAAAAACAATGGAGAGAATACTATACCATGTGAACTGACTTTGTCAGGCGATTCTATAAATAAAAAGGAATTTTATGTAATGACAAACTGTACATATCAAATTCACATTAAGATAGAGAGAAACTGAGACACTTTAATACTATTATTGTTTTTGATGGAAACAACAACAAAAAAAGGCTAAAACTGGGATATCTGGTAACCCTACTCATATCATATCATTGGTTTAAGTGTGAAATATTTTATAATATTTACTTCTATATCATTATACACAAACCTTTGGACATGAGGAGACAAGCTACACATTTTTAAATAAATGGTCAGTGAAATTGGCAAATGGTTTAATGTGAAGCATTATATTAAAAGCATGAGGCTCTTACTGCTAGATACATTATGGTGTAATTATTAGACTAAATAATATATAAGAACAAACTTAAGCTCAATTTTGTTGATATTAAGTGTCTGATGTTTTTATGCAAGTTATAAGAAGTATTGTTCAGCTATGCAAAAAGTCATCCTTCAATTTAGGAGTAGCACAAGGTTTTTTGTTTGCATGAAATAAATTTGTTTTAAATATATTTTAAGTGCACAGACGTGAAACAAAACCTCAGACTGCCACTTTTATCTTTACATAGAAAATGAAAAGTATCTCAAGTAAAACCCATGCAGTTGGCACTATTCTCTTTATTATTTTGTCCAAAAATTTACATAAAGAATATAATGTCACATGACTCACATTACTTTAGTGATGGAAAAAAAGGAGATTTGTAAGTAGACCTATATCTTTATATATGAGAGGAATGTTTATTGGAAAAAATAATTGTTTTTAAAAAAGCTTGACAAACTTTTGAAGTGGAAAGCTGAGAAGATTTATCCTGATACCTTCAAGCTGAGCAAAGAATTAGCGGAGGCCTTCTTTACAATAATTATTTTGCAAAAGGTCTTGCCCCCAGTGGCTGAGTGGTAAATTTAAATGCTTAAAACACCAAAATTCAGGTTTTTTGATACCCACAGTGGGTAGAGCAGAGATAGCCCATTGTGTAGCTTTGTGATTAACAAGAAAACAAACAAAAGTTTTTAAATTGTGAGGAATTTAAAAATTGCCAGTGTGACCTACTTTTTAAAATCAAATATTGAAAGGAAGATTTGACAGGTAATTTTTACTTTTGTTATAGCAAAGTGTAGGAATCTGTAGTTAAAAGTCATTTAAAAAACATTTTATTGAAAGTTGCCATTTATTTGTAAAGGGCTTTTCTATTTTTTTATGAGGGCTGCTGATGTTGTCTAACTTAAATTTCAGTATTTTTTGATAGAGTAGATATTAAGAGATTAAATATTAAGTAGGATGTTTAAGGTATTAGGAAAAAATGTTAAATATTTATGGAAAAATTTATTTAGTAGTAAGTTTGATGTTTAAGGAATTGGTAAAAAAAGTTAAAAATATATATGGAAAATTGACTTAGTTGCTTAAAACGAAGGGTGGTGATAAACTGACTTTTTTTTTTCAATGGCAGATCTCTACAGGGTATGTTTTCAGTCTTTATTTTTTCATTATATTGAAAAGTTTCTTGTTCAGTAATTTTTCAGTTTTGCCATTGAGAAGACTCGATGTTTTAGACAATTATTTTATTCAAAAGGCACTTGACAACAATACACCAAGAATGAATTAGGTGAAGAAGGTACCTATATTGTTGCCAGTGCTGTACTGCTTATAGCTGAACTACCATGACTCGGGAAACTTTACCATAACTACTTGTGGTTGCCCTACTCTGTGAGCCAAGTAAGCTAAATGGAAGGCAAAACAACCACTCATTTGCAAATGTTCTTATTGGCAGCTGGTTCAGTGTTGTTTTGTATGTATCACAGATCATGTGAGGAAACTGAAGTAGATTATTGAACTGTGTCTGCTGGTGTATCTTGTAAGTTCAAGGATAAGCAAGGGATTAAGAAATATTTTGGTGATAGAGATGGAAACCTACCTGCTACTGGCATGAAAACATATCTTGGTTGATAGGGCATCAGCTTTGCGACACTTGTGTGAGCCAAAAATTCCAGCCAAACTCTGGGCGAAAAAGGTTTACAAGATTTTAAAGTTTTGAAAGCTCAGTGACAGAAGTCATTTAACTTACAAAAAAATGTATTTGTATTTACATCAAAGAAGTTAGTTTGCTTTGTTCTTGTAATTTTGAGTCTATGCACTCAATTTGTGACACTTAAATGAAATTCCACAAATTTAATTTTGTTATTGTAATTACAGTGAGATAAAAAAAAATTCACAGTTTCTTATTAGATATTTTCAGAAATGGAGGGATTTTATTTTTTAAGAGCCTGATTTATATGTTTCTCAAACACCAAAATAATGTATATGTATGAACATCATTTCCATTGTCAGTCTTGCCACTAGGTGACTTCACATCAAAATTATCATCAGTCAATTTTTGTATAGGTGGCGCTTCAGTAAGAAATTTGAAAATTAGATGCAGAGATTTTAAAATTTAAAGGAAAAGCAGGTGCCAACTCCTAGGTGCTGATGATAAAGTGGTTATTTATTTTTTTAATTTAATCTCAAATATCTGGAATTTTTTCAAATCTTATAGCATGAATATTTTCATGTTATCAACATTCTGAATAAAAACATATCAATTTTCAACTTAAAAACATTGAATAAAATATTGTATACATTATAAAGTAATGCACTAACTCATGTTTAAAATATAGCTAGAATAAATCATAACATGAATCCATGCTTTCAATTTGCAGCTTTAAAGTAAATGTAAGATATAGATGATGATGATGTTTTTATCAAGTTTGTAACTGTTAAAAATATGTAAACAAAAAAATGTTTCCTTTATTAATCTTTCTCAGTACATTATGTTTGAGGAAGAGGTAAAGTTTTGATTTGGCACAACATTCTATTAGACAAAGGAAAACTAAAAATTTTTGACTAACATAAACTGACACTATGGCAAAGTTGTATTATTTTTGTTTCGAGTTAGTAATTTTCCATATAAAGAAAAGTATCTAAGAGGTTAATTACAACTGCTATGTTAGCATTATGGATCCATACAGTACACATGCATATGTATACACCTGGTATTTAACTTCTGTTCAGTATGTTTGTACCCATTCCTTGGTGGCTCAAAGGTATGCTTGAAGGTTAATAATGCAAAAATCCAGGGTTCCATTTCCCATGATGGACACAACACAGGTATTCCATCATGTAGTAGCTTTTTGTTTAACAACTTAACCAGTGAAACAGATGTTTACAACTAGTGTTACACTTGAGAACAATACTCGCACATATGTGTACACTTCAGTACACTACATACATTTACACCTAGTATTACGCTTTCATACAATACACAATTGATTACAACTAGTATAATACCTCTGCACAATAAATGTTTACACTTGGAATTACACTTCTCTACACTACAACCATAAGTTTACAACTACTATTAAACCTCTGCAATTCATATAAGTGAATACTCTTAGTATTGCATCTTAGTTGACATCTCGTTTTTCATTACTACACTACATAGATATATTTATACCTAGTAATACATTAATGTAAATGCACAGAATTATGTTTGTACCTACAGTAGCATTACACCTCTCTTCATTTGTGTGATATGTAGGCATAACATGTTTTTTTACATACTTATATTAATATGCAAATTTTTGAAGTTTTTCCTTTGGTATATCTCTATGCAGTTTTGAAATTAACACTTTGTTCAGAAAACTGCTTTTGTGTGTGTTTGTTGTTTTCTAGCAGATAGTATTTACTTTGCCTATGGGAATATTGCTGCAACTTTGCATGTTGTACAAAATAGGTTATAAACAGAAGTCTTTTCTTAATATAGTAGATACCTAGAGGTTACAGCCATTATATGATGTATGAAAATGAAGTCATGTGGTGATGTGCATAAAAGTAAAAATTGAAGTTTTCTGTTTTGTGAGGAGTATTGGTTCTACTCAGTTATGCTTGTTTAACAATGTGAATAGTTCAATGGATATACGTTTTGAAAGACTACAACTATTGACTAATTCACAGGTCTAGTAGGAAGGTGAATGTTCAGTGTCTTGTACAAATATACACACTTTTTTTTACTATGTTTTATAAATAGATATTGTTGTCCACTTGGTGTCACATTTCTAAGCTGTTTATTCTCATAGCTTAAATTTCAATCATTTAGTTAAATTCAGGTTTACTCTGTGATTTATCCTATAAGAATCTACTGTAATATAGCAGACCTTTCTGATAATGTGTGAAAATCAGTTAATCTGAGAATGCCACACAGTGCTTATAATACATTCGTGTATCTGTATATTTGATATTATGTACCTGCATAATACCATCAAATCTAGGTAATAAAGACAACAGAAAAAGAAACCAAGAAAATTACACGAACAGGTAAAAAGGTCAAAGGTATTTTGAGAAACAGTATTAATAAAAGCCAAGCCTAAGCCAATTATTGAAACCATGTAAACCAACTGAATTAATAACTAAGCTGTTATTAGTATAGTTTTCTAATTAATGGCTTCCCTTTATTGTTCAGCACTTGCTATTAAACCCTATAGGCTTCCCATTATTATTCAACACTTGTTATTAAACCCTATAGGCTTCTTTTTATTGTTAAGCACTTGCTATTAAACCCTACTGTTCTGTTTATCCTTTCTTATAATTTGTTTGCTTTGTACACATATATATATATATATATATATATGTTCTTACCTGTTTGTATAATTTTCTGTCCCTTTTTTCTGATTGACTTTTTTTTTCATTGTCTTTATTACTGCCACTGAATACCAACAGGTATGTTTACACATAGCATTATATTGTTGTACACTATACACAAATATGTATAGCTTAGTTAGCTCACACAGGTGTACACTTAATATTACATCCGTACATTACACACATTCATATTTACCACTAGTATTACCCTTCTATATCATATACATAGGTATGAGTGCACACAACATGACACCTTTGTATGATACATATAGTTAGGTATACATTTAACATTGTCTCCATACAATGTGAATAAATACCTTTATATTTAGTATTACATCTCTATACAATACACATAGGTATGACCACATGTAGAGCTGAGTGATTATTGATAGCTTCATAAGTTTGTGAACCACTGCAGTCTTCTAACATGTTACCATGTGGTACCAGTCTTTCCTGCTCTTTTGTTTTTAAGTAGCTTTCAAATTAACCTTCATTTCATATGATAGACATTATCTTGGAGGTTGAAATTTAAGCATTTTGTGAAAAACATATTTTTTTGCTTTAAAATTATTTTAGCTCAAATTATTTAAATATAATCTGGACATTTCCACATTTTAACAAATGAATCACTAATCTCAATTAGAAATTATCATAAGGTTGACATATTGTAACTCAAATAAATTGATATTTGAAGAATGAAAATGTGTTTTACTATCATGGTTACCAATAAGGGAAATAATGTTTTCAGTTAAAATATATTACAATTGGAATTTGAAATAATTAATTAGCTAGTTAACCAATTTATTCATGTAGATTGTTTAAATAGGATAAACATGAAAATAATATTCAATAAAGATTTGAGTTTCAGAATATTTTGCATTGCCTACCACACTCACTAAACAGTAAGCTTATATTACATGTAGAGTTATACCTCTGTATAACATATAGTAAGTTCTACACTCAATATTACGCCTCTACACATGCAATATTACCTTTAGTATTACAATTGCATTGCCTACCACACTCACTAAACAGTAAGCTTATATTACATGTAGAGTTATACCTCTGTATAACATATAGTAAGTTCTACACTCAATATTACACCTCTACCCATGCAATATTACCTTTAGTATTACAAGTACAGATATAATTTCATTTACTATCATTCTGTGTAAAACACAACCACCAAGAATACAAACATTTTTATTTAAAAAATTGTGACCCTAAAATGTAAAGTGAGTTTACTTCTTTTTAGTCTTATCATAGGAATGATCTTTTGTCTAGTGATTTTTTTGTATATGAAGGCTTGTTTCAACTTTGATTGCTTCAGTTTCGTGGGACTGTTGTAACTATATTTTAGTTGTCAATTAATTAATCATATACTTTTTTAAGGTGTATTGACAAAACACAAGTTGAAGCTGTGTATGAATCTGACTACTGAATGAATATGGAAGCTCTTCAGTGTTACAGCACTAATAGCAGTAGTGAGGATGAGTATAGTAATTCAGACTGGAATTGTGCTTTATCACATGAGGGAAAGAAGGTGCTTGATAAAAATAGCTCTGAGAAAACATCATTACATGACAATATAAACTCTGCTGGTTTATTGAATGTAAAACATGAAAAAAAGTGTGAAGATTTCTTTGGGTTGAAAGATAGTAGTGATGATGAAGAAGCAGAAGTCAGAATGCTGGCAGAGCTTGAAGATGTGAAATTAGATTTACTTTTAGAAGATCGTAGCTCAGTTTTAGCCAAAGAACAGTATGGACCTGCACTACCAGTTTCAGGAGCTAAAGAAATTAAGCCATCTCCTGCAGACAAAAACAGAACAAACACACTCAGTAAAAGATATTTTCGAAAAAAAGGGCATAGTGACAGTTATGTGCTAAATTATGGTGAATATAAAAAAAAACATTTGTCATATGATCAGGTCCTTTATGGAATTAATACATGTGAAGCAAGTACAACAAGTCAAAGTGAAATTATAAAAAGTCCAAGTAAAAATGTACTACATGATTACCATGCATATTCTACTTTCTGTCGTGTGAGTGAAACTGTAGATAAAGTAAGTGACTATGACCATCATAATGTCAAAGACATAAAATTGCCTTATATTGACGAAAGCATAAAAAATACTGCAGAAGAAAAGTTATTCTTCAAACATCCAAAGATTCATGCACACATTAAATCAAATGCCTCATGTAAAGCACCAAGAAGAATTGATTGCCAGCTCGGTTCTCATCATAATTCTGTTACTTCTCTACAATGGAACACAGCCAAGTACAGTCATTTGCTTTTATCATCCTCATTGGATAAGATTCTAAAGGTATGGAATACACTTAACAAAACCTGTCTGCAAGAACTGTCTGTACATCAAGAAGGTATCAGAAGTGCGGTGTGGACCTTATCAGGAACCAAGTGTCTTTCTGGAAGCTATGATATGACTGCCCATTTGACTAATGTCCTGACGGGTAAAGAAATGAAAGTTTCTTTTTTGTAAGATTTTTTACATGAAATTATTTTTTATTGAAATAATATTTGTTTAAAATAAGTTTTAAGCTAGTTTTGATAAACACATACACATATGTATAAATCTATGCTTATCAATGTTGTATGATACATCTGAAGAACATACTTCTTTTCATTTCCATATTTAGATTTTTATAAAGTAGAAATACCTGTAGAATAGATAATACAACACCTATCAGTTTAAGGTGATTTTTGGTGGGGGTATACAAAGACCACAAAGGTTTTTTTTTATTATAGAAAATTGTACTTTGTTTAAATTATGACTTAGCAGTTTCTATTTTATTTTTGGTTATGATTTTCTCATTTGTGTATTCCTTTTCATTTTGTTTAGTTCAGCTGTGTTGTTATTTGCCTTAAACACTAGCTCATTAAAAGAAGCCATTTTTACATTAATACACCAACATAAGGTTCCCCTAGTGGTGATGTATAGATTTTAAGTTTACGATTAATTATGTAAAACAAATGTTAACTAGGCAGTCATGTGACTTGTAATCTCGTGGTCTGGCAACACAGTAAAAAGTCTTAAAATTTGAAGTTAGATTGAGAGGGACAAGAGTATTTTAAATACTTGATCTTTATTTGTGATTTAATGATATTATATTTATTCCTACACTGATAATGATATTGTTTAGTAAATTTTAGCACATTGCAACAGAAATGGCAGGTACTCTCTATTGGAAACTTTGCTATTTGTCTTTCAGTACCTTCAAAGTTCCATAACATAAATAACTTTACAGTTTTCCAAAGAAATGTCCAAGTTTTTTGCTGTATTTGAAATGTACTTTCTATTAAAAAGTTCTTGAGCCAACTCAATTTTTATATGTTAAAAAATAAGTGTATTATTTGCTTCAATAGTTCCATTTATATAAAATAATACAAAAATCTCAGTATTATTATAAATATGAAAATTAATTAACAGAATAAAATAACTTTGAGTCATGTAGATCCCATCCTAGTAGTTAGGGGTTAAATGGGGCTTCTCTGCCACTTTAAAAATCTACAAGACAAAAGACGTACAAATTCCATCTCAAATTTTTGAAACCATAGTTCAAAATACAATAACCAGAAATTTATAATACACATGAATTATTGGATGTATTACTATTGTAATTGTTAAAATCAAATATGCTATTATCTGAGGATAACCATGACAAAGATACAAAATGTTTAATAAGTAGGAAATTATCACACCCAAAAACACTTATGTTACTGATATATATGTATATTTAGTCCTTTATTTTTTATAACATTCCTCTGATTTTGGAAACTACAGGTCAAATAGAATACACCTGCCAACATCAAAGCTATGTCACAAGTGTTCAGGTTTGTCCTGAGGCTGAGGAAATATTTCTGACAGGAAGTAAGGATACTGTTGCTGCTTGGGACAGCCGCATTCAACCCACTGCAGCAATAATGAAATACAAGTCAACTTGTGGCCAGGTGAAGATTTTGCTTTACTAGTTTTGAAGGTTAACTTTACTCAAAACATACGGAAGTTTTGTTCAAAGTGTACATACGCATGTCTAGATGGGTTTACCACATCACAACAGAACACACCTTTTATCTTTCCATTTTTACTATTATTAAAATAATAGTTTATGATGTTGTTAATTTACGTAGGCTCAAAAAATCAATATGGCATCCCATAACTCAAATGCATTTTAAAGATAGACCTTTTTTCATCAGGAGCAAATTTGGAATAGCTAAATTAAGTGAAGTGTGAAAAGGATGGAGTAACATCATGGGTGGATTACCATGACAAACTGTTAATGTTTCAATTAGCTTTCAAAGGAATGTTGCTGGAAATAACTAAATTAAGTGTGAAAAAGGATGGGGTAACATCATGGTGGATTACCATGACAAACTGGAAATGTTTCAATTAGCTTTCAAAGGAATGTTGCTGGTGGGACACATTTTCATTGTGCAATACAACAGAAAATGAGAATGCTACATATAAAATAGTTAGAAATGTTTTATTTATATTGAGCAATGAAGTAAAAGAAAGGTATGATATGAAAATTGATTAGCAAGAAAATGTTAAGTAGATCGAATTAAAAGGACAAAACAAACATGGAAAATTATCATAAATAAATAATAAGTATTAAGAAAGATTTGGAGTAAAAATAAAATAATCTATACCACACATGAGAAAGGAAAAAACATATTTGTCAGACAAGGAATTAATTAATGGTTGAAGATCTTTGAGTTGGGTTGGACAGTATCTAAAGTGGAAATTGAATAGGCTTCTTTCATTTCTCTATCAGCGTTAGTTTTAAAACCAGTTTAAATACCTTTGAGAATCATATCATTAAATATAATGACTAGGTTGGCAGAAGTGTTGGGCAACAGGGAGGTCTTTTTAAGTGTGAACAAAATAAATGTTTTCCTTCAACTAATGTTCTACATGATGAAGGACTCGGAGGTCCAAAAAACTGCCCTAAATCATTTCAATCCACCCAAATCTCAAAAAGTAATAAACCTTGCCAGTCTTGTCTTAATCTCTAAACAACTTTGAATTCAACAAAGAACATTATCTTCAGGTTAACAGTACTGCAATGGTTATTAATATGGTTCCTAACTATGCCAACATATTTATAGGCCATAATGAAAGCCAACTGTTACAACAAAATGCTGTGAAACCTCACACTTGGAAATGTTACTTTTCTTTTGGACAGCTGGTTCTGAATAATTTAAAGACTTTTCTTATGCCAACACCTTTCACAAAACAGTCAAATTTACCTTTGATTACTTCCTTACCCAAATTACCTTTCTTGATGCTGTTACTATTCTTTAAATGACAGCCTTTTACATGCTGGCTTATACACAAAACCTACTGACAGACCATAGTATCTTCATTACAGAAATTTCCACCCCACCCACACTAAACAGAATATTACTTACAGTCAATTGCTCAGAATAAAGAAAATCTGTACTGTTGAAACAAATTACAGAAAACACACTGAAGATCTAAAATAAATCACGATAAAAAAATCTGTAAAGATATGAAAATTGACAGGTAGATTGAAAAAGTTAAAAATCATCCTTAAAAATTATAATACTAAAAAAAGAAATGTAGTTCCTCTTGTTATTACCTTAAACTCAGAAATATTTCATGTATTTTGGAAAAAAAAAATCCATTTACTACAAATGAATAATCACTTACTTTTTGAAGTTCCCATTGTCTTCTTCCAGAAGAACAGAAATCTTAAAGATATCCTTATTCATGCAAAGGTGAATACACCCAACCATGGAATGGTTGTCATCCATGTAACAAAGTCTGTTGTCCAACATGCAAGTCCACAGAACTACTTACTTTTGAACAACAAATGGGACCAAAAATGCTTTACTATTACTAAAGAAATTACTTGCACAACACACAATACCAGGTAGAGTGTAAAAAAATGCAATTACAAGTAAGTAGGACAAACCCAAACAACTCTTAGGAAGCATTTCAACAACCATAAATCTTCTATGGAACACCAAGAAGGAACTCCCTGTTGCCCACCATTTCAACCACCCAGGTCATTCTATTTAATGATGGTTTTAAGACTAAAGCTGATAAAGAAATGAAAGAAGCCTTTTGAGTTTCCACTTTAAATGCCATTCAATCCCATGGAATAAACTTAGATTCTGAAATCGGTGATCTTTGAGCATTAACTAGTTTCCTGTCTGACAAATAAGTTTTTTCTTTCTCATGTGTAGTATAAATTCTTTATTTTTATCTTTAATATTTCTCAGTATTTACCATTTATTTATGATAATGTTCCATGTTTGTTTTATATCCTTTTAGTTCTTTCTATTTAAATTTTTTTGCTAATCAATTTTCACACTATAGTTTTATTTCACTATCAATACATAATATAGTTTTCCTTTAAAAATATTTTTTAAACAAAAAACCTTTCTCATCTTTTATATCTAACATTCTCATTTCCTGTCATATTGCACAATGGAAATGAGTCACACTTGCAATATTCTTTTGAAAGCTAATCAAAACATTTCCATTTTGTCATGGTAATCCACCTTTTCTCACACTTCAGTTAATTTAGCCATTCCCACTTTGACCCTTATGATGAAAGGTCTACCTTTCCAGTGTATATTAGGGTATTTTCCCCTGAAAGGGGCCAAAGGCAGCCTGGAAGGGTCACCTATTTTAACCATTTGCACCACTATGCAGTAGTGTGCTTTTCACTCAGTCAGTAGACAATAAAATGATGTCATATAAGGGACAATTATGCACTCTTTATGCTACAACACAGCATGGCATACAAACTTCAAAAGCAAGAAATGAAAATAATTGTTACACTTAATTTTGGTTTTATATATTTTAGATTTTGGACATAGCCTTTTTACCTGGAGGAAAAGAGTTTTTATGCAGCTCTGAAATTGTTAGTCGTGACTCACCTGACAGGACATTGATGGCCTGGGATTGGAGATCAGGAGCTCTGTTGTCTAATCAAATTTTTCATGTAAATATTACTTGGAGAATCTATTCAAGATTATCATAGTCTATCTCTGCTTTAAAACTAAGTAAAAATTATATTATGTCAACTCACAATGCTCTATTCTATAAATTTGTTTTAACGTAAAACTACATTCACTGTAAATTTGTTTTAAAGCTCATTTTTTGGGCTTTTGCACAAGTTTTATAGATTATTCCTTGGCCTATAATGTAATGCTATCTTTAATCATTCCCTTTTTTTTCTACGTAGATTAATTATATTTATTATCTGTTTCTAAAAAGGCCAATCATGTTTTTTAAAACAAGTTATTGATATTTGTAGTAATAAACAGCTTAATTACTCCTATTGTGTTGTGACTGTAAAGAAGTTAATATTTACTACTATGTTTTTGATATTAAACTGATAAGGCATTTATGTTGTAGGTACTAGTTACATCTTACTCATTCTCATTACAGTCGTGTATTTTCTGACCTCAAAGCACGTCAGTCCTTTCTGTTGTTTTCAAGCAAATTATCCTGTTTTTGTGTTTTGACTTTAAACAAATTTATGAAATACTGTAAGTCTTAATAAACCCTGAAACATCTACAGAGGAAAGATTTCATGTTTTTGGGTTTACACTTCTCATTTCATAATAATTAGCAAAAATGAAAAGTTGAGATTTCTGTAAATTTATAGTGCAATATATTTTCTCCTGGCACGAAAACTTCCATTCTATTCTAACAATTCCTATATGTAATTAAATAACTTACCCTCATCAGCAGATTGGTAGTTATTATAAAAGATAATGGGTGCAGAGTATGTATATGTGATGGGTAAATGTTTGACCATTTATTGTAGTTATAACAAATACTGTACACAAATTATTAATTTCCAAACATGTTTCTATTTTTGTTAAGTTTCTGTCTGTAGTTGTTTTGTACCTGATACACTACTTAATGAACACTTTGACCTCAGTAAACAACCTGAAATGTATTAAGTTATGCAGTATTTGGCTACAATGGACTCGTTTTTGTTTAATGCAGCTTAAAGAATGTTAAAATAATAGGTTGACTTTCTTAAGTTATTTTAAATGCTTACTTACATACTGTTAGTTAAACAAGAGTTTGGCAGATTTCAAATTTCTTAAAGGAAATGGAAAGCTTTTACCTTATGCAAATTTTCTGTTGTACTTGTCTGTTTTGGAGATCGAATTTTGTTATATTGTGTGTTTGTGATTTGTTGCAGGAAAGATACACTTGCCCTTGCTTACGGGTAGATCCATTTGGACAGTATTTCATTGCACAAACAAATGGGAACTACATCGCAATATTTTCTACAATCCATCCATACAAAATGAATAAGAAGAAAAGATATGAAGGGCACAAGGTAGGTTTGGCATCAGTTTTTTTTTTGTTGTTGTTGTAATACATATCTACTTCTGATATATTGTAGTTCATTAAAGTACACGTGACTTGTTTTAATGCATATGTAGTAATAGAAAGTTCCATCCTTTCTAAAAATCAGGATGATTTTTTAGTTTGAAACTTTATTTATGATATTGATACTGTGAGAAATTTATTATAAAAAAAACTGATTTTGCCAGTCTAGTTGCAGGGAAACACTAACACTGTTAATAATGTGTAGAGAAAAGAAACTTGTTAAGAGTAAGAACACGTATGTATATGAATAGACTAATCACTAATATAATTCAACTGATATGGGACTAATCCAAAAAACAATACACGAAAAAACATTATAGTAGATATGAGAAACAAATAGGAATAGAAAGCAAAATTTTCTGAGCTATTGACCACATTATGTTTATTGTCTATCTGATTTATTCCACTTTGAAATCTATTTAATTTTATATGTTATTTGGACTACATATATATTTTTTACTTACTATTTTGTAAAAGAACTAAAAAGTAACGTAGAAATTTCCACACCTGAGTCACTAAAATGCTACACTGTCTCAGCAAATAGACAGTAGGCCTGACATAAGCTGCAATGCACACATAATAAAATCCAGTTATCATAGTATAACAGCACCTTAGAAATGGTGTATCATTAACGTTTCTGCTGAACTAAAACAAAACTTGACAAGCACTCGTAACATCTTTTTGAGTAAGATCATAAGTCACATAACCATATGAACATGATAACCTAAAAAGTTCTGTCAAAGTAGTGATTAGAATAACACTTTGTTGAGTATACGAAAATATTACTATTTACTATTAAAAGAACATTATGAATATAAAACTGTTGAGTTATAATAGTTGTCTAGGACACCAAATACTCAGGGTTCCCAGTGTAAACAGAGGATAATTTAAGGTATCACCAGCCCTGATAATTATAAACAGCATTCTGTTGAAAATGTCAACATTGTAGAAGAGATAAGTCATGCATTTCATGGTAAGTTATGGTAAAGGCAACAGTGCAATATTTTGCCCATGTTTAAAATAGCAGATCAAAGACATTTTTCAAAATCTTAACTCTTCTTAAAAAACAGGTGTCAGGTTACAGCATAGGGTGTGACATTAGTCCTGACAGTACAATGGTGATTAGTGGAGACATAGAAGGTCACCTGTGTGTCTATGATGCCACAAGTACAAGATTATTTCGAAAATTATCCTGTGGAAGCTCACCAACAACTTGTGTTGCTTGGCATCCTGTATTGTTCAGTACAGTTGCCTTGGGAACATGGAATGGAGACTTAGGAATCTGGCAGTAATATGTAATATTGTATAAAGCCATACTGAATATCTAATTTGTTGATGTGTAATAACTATGATATATTTGTATTCACACAAAAATGTTTTTAGTGATAGTCTTCCCATAATTATAAGTTGTTTACGCTTTGCTGTACAGTTTGTTACATTTTTTTACATGTATTTTAATATGTTTTAGTAATTCCTGTTTTAAAAATTGTATGTTCACTGAAACTGATATTTACAAAAAATACTATGTAACTTGAAAATGTATAATTTTTTTTACTCGCATGGAGTAGGAAACTAAGCTACTACTAATTTGTTCGCACTGCCAGACTAATCAGATTCTATACTGAGACACATGAAAACTTTTGTTTGTGAAAGTTCATTCAGGCTGTTTAGTACTTGAACATAGTTACAAATGTTAATTCTAGGCTAATCACAGTATACAAAGTTGTAGAAAAAGCAAAAGATTTTTAACATCAAACTAACCAGGCTCTATATAGTTCTAGAGAAATCATAAGATCATATTCACACAAAACAAATTTTAAAACAAACAAAAATGGTTAGTTTACATTACTAATTAACCATTATTTTAAAGTGAGTTCTAAATTTTGTTTGCATTAATACAGTTAAAAAACTTTAGCTTGTTTAAGAACTCTATTTCAAAATATTAAGATTGTGTTTAAGTTACACATAATTTGTTTAATCATATTAAACTAACTACATTGTGTGTAACATAAGCTAAAGAAGTTCAAACTAGACTAATGAGGTGGTGTTGAGTTTTGAAGTAGACATAATATTTTGTCCTTATCTGAATCAGTAAACACCTTAAGACAGTGAGCAACCTTGACTTTTTAGAACTCGGGTAATCTACTTACCTATAAAGCTTTTACAGAAATACAGACTCTTGACTAAAGCTATAACATGTAACATTTATTAGCGTAAGTTGGAAGCACATTACACCAGATACATTTTGCATACCAAGCCTTATTCAGCTACAAAACATTTTCTCAAGCAGTAGCCCAAAAATAAATTTCAGGGTACCAAAGCTGATTGTACATTTATTTCACTGTTGTAAGTGTTAATACCCCTCAAAGCATCTGAACATTTCTGAAGCTTCCATTTTAAGTTAGATATTAAAACTCAAGTTTTATGGGCACTAAACAGTTGTGATGTATTGATAACCTGTCTTGAATTTTTTTTTTGTAACTTCTTCATATTTGTAGACACTTTTATAATATTATTAACTAAAATAATCAAGTATACACGTTTTCAATAATCCTCATGATCCTACAAAATACCACATTACAGTATTTCAAATCATACATAAAGGTACCTTTTTAATTATATTCCAAAGAATCAAATAACTAAACATTTAACAAAACAAAAACTTGTCTTATGGCCACTGGTAATTTATGTTGAAACTGTTTGAATTAAAATTTGGAGAGTTAAAGATAATTTGGTAGTTTTAAATCTTCCAACAAGAGTAACAGTATAAACCTTATAATCTGAAATCTTCAAGTAGAAATGTTATTACACCAACAAAAGTATGCATGAGATGATACCAGGTGAATAGTGTTAATTTTATAACATGTTTTTACAATGTGCTTTTGTAATTTGCTGTTTATTTTGATAACGTGAACAATATTTGTGGTTTTGTTTGGATCATAATCTTTGTGAGAATTTTATAATACATTCTTCTGTATTTTATCTACAGATTACTAACAATATCATGCGAAATATGAAACATCATTATTCATATCAGTCTCTACCTAATAATTTTAAATATAATCTTTGAAGCAGCAATACACTTTTAGTAAGTCAGTAGTTACCATACATAAGTTACTATGGTCTTATATATTTGAATATTCATAATTGAAGCATCAAATTTTTGTTTACAAATTAAAACTTGCAAAACAATAGTATTTATTATTAGATAAAACTATATATATATAATCTATGGTAGAATCACCTTACACTGATGTACAGGAAACTTAATGTAAGTTACACTAAAGTAGAATACAAAGAATCTATAACTGAAAGTTATATTTCACTTGATAAAGTCTTTCTCATTATTCCTGTTATTTATCAAAATAAGAGATTTTAACATGTTGAGTTCTTATAAATATTGTCTTTGCATGAAGATTATCTTCGAAGTTAAATAATTTTTTACAACAGATTTTAAAGCATACAACTCCATGATGGTTTACTTGACAGCTAGAATTACGTTCTAAAATATGAGAAATACAATTTTCAACCTGAACAGCACCTTATGTGCACCCTAGGATTCAGATATGACTGTTCCTAATTTTGAGCTACTCAGCAGCATGATACCACAATGGCTTTATCTGGCTCTTGAAACTAAGAAATGGAACTGACACAGTTGAAAGAGCAGAGCATGTTCATTTGGATAATATGTCAAACCCTAGACCCTTCAATCCACAACCCAGAATGCTAACCACTAGGCTATGCCAAGCCCTAAAAAAACAGTAAGTCAAATAGTTCAAACAACTAGTTTTTTTAAGTGTTGAAATTACAATGTTTTTAGTGTGACAGAACATTCTTGTTTTGTCTTTTAATACAGAAAGTATTATGTACAATAATTCACAATACATGAAATTAATACATAGGCTTTGTATATACAAAAAATGGATTGTAAAGTGAGGTGTTCTGCAACAACTGCAGAATTAGGAAACTGGCTACTAATCAAAGTCGAAAACATACAGTCAATATGCATATCTCCATCAGAAGCACAATTAATTGAAGTTATGTTCAGTACACAACTACGTAATGCATAAATTCTATCATCTAAATAGAATTTTATATTACAAAAGTTTACCACATTAAATGGTGGAATATACTAATATTTATTACAACATTCATAATAAAAAAGTTGAAAGTTTTCAAATCCCATCATAAACTATAAGATATTAACCCTTTTGCTACACTATGCTGAAGAATATACACCAAACACTAACTTTCCTTTCCTTATATTCCCATCAAGATATAATTGCCTTGGCTATGCATATAATGTATCCCAGGGAAATCTCAAAGTTTTCTACTGGTTATATGTTTTATGACTAGTACATATCTTTAGCAGAATAACATACTTTCACAGAAGTTTGGGATAAATCCTGGAGTTTCTCCTACATTTACTAATTTACTTTTACAGATTATCACTTTTTAATCATGATAAACCAAAAAATAAAAGAATAAGATAAACTATGTTTTCACTTGTACAAGATGTTTTCATTCCTGTTGTCTCAAAAGATAAAAGCAAGACCAACTATGCTCTTACAAGAGGCTTCCTTCCCTATTTTCCTATAAAAATAAAAGCAAGATTTATCCTAAGTAAGTTATGAATACCAGATGATGAAACATATGGAATTATTGCTGGTGCAGATAGGGAAATATTGGGACCTGGGGGGGGGGGATTTTTGAGTGTTCTAATGAATGAATAGGAGGTCACAAAACAAAAGATTCTACTATGACTTCATAAACTTGTTATAGTGGCTTTGAAAGTAAATAGCCTAAATGGTAACATTATAACAAAATAAAAATAGGGGAAAAAAGTTCCATGTAAGGAATACATACTGCTGTTACAGTGAAAGGATTAATGTAGTCTAAATGATTTAGGCACTAAAGGCAGTGACAGTACTGCCTAAACTGCACAAATATATTGATATTAAGTATGATCAGTACATAATTTGAATATATTTGAGATCTACCTTAATCTCTATAAACAGACATATGTTTGATTAGCATTTTCTAAAAAATACTGTAATTTCACATTATCCATAAGATACGTTAAAATGTGTAACATGATAACTGAAACATCATTTACTGACACACATTGTAGTAAATAAGTATTAGAATTACTTGTATGTGCATAAAATTTTAATGGCATTTAAGTTTATGCATTATTATATTTCCTTTCAGTAAAATGAATGTCCACATAAATGTTCCAACATTCTTCAAGATATTAATTTAACAATAGGTATTAAATATATTATACTCTTTACCAATTTAAACATCTTTTTTGCCTACTTGGTTTAAAATGCAAACAAAAACTATTGTTTAACAATACTTCAGGAGAATGTTATGAAATTAAAAAATTTTGAATTTTTTGGTAAAAAAAAATTTAGTAATGTAATTTAAATCAAAAAAGAATAATATTCAAGCAATTGTTTTCACCAAACTGTTGGGCAAACAATCAGAACACAGTAGTTTGTCCAGTTTTTGCAAAGAATTATATAGACCATAATAGCTTCACTGTTCATTTGAACCTCATTATATACAGAAATGTTAAATATAAACCATTTTTAAAGTCACATTATAAAATAAATGCATAATGTAGTTCATCATGTATACAGGCTTCACTGAAAGTCCAAGGACTAATAACCTTACATACGGGAATAGAGTATGGCTTCAGTATGATACACAAATACATCAAAACTTTTCTAAAAATAACGTTCATTATCCTGGAATTTGCCTAAATTAAGTTTCTTTTGCCTATTTTGTATGGTACTCAGTGAAGACTTACCATGATTTTTACACAAGAGTAGAATTTAGGCACATGTTACAAAATGTGATTCCTAACAAACACCATGAACTACAGGATGGGCCAAAACAATGTATCAGATGAACAGTTTCCATTACACTAATGATCATGGTTAGGTGAAGATATTATAACAAACTCCTTTTACCAAGGCTCCATTGTGGAAACTTTCACAGTCACGTAAAACAAACCTGTATGAAACATGCAATGCATCCAATTCTTGTTACTTTATTTTGGCCTGTATGATGAGGAACTACATCACCTATATTATAGTCTCAGTACCACCTACAGAACTGGTACGGGATTGATGCCACTGGGAATCTGTGCCTGAGGAAGACCCTCTTCTTACCCGGGAGTGAACATCAATGGGCTGGTTCCCACAAGACAAACATGAAACAAATGTGGACGGCCATTTAGTTTGGGTTTCTTTATCCTGGTAATATACACATTGTTTTTTAAATTTACATGCCATACAAATAAACTGTTTTTTGGCATTCCTTTCTTTGGCCCTCTCTTCTAAAACTTTAGCCATTATTGCTGCTGATACATAGTCTGGAGAGCTCTCCGAGATCCCTAGTGTAGTTTCCTTTTGCTTTACAGTCCCATTATCTGGAATTTTATTTACTGAATACACCATGGCTGTTGGTGGAAAAGTTGGAATAGGCACACGAATTGTTCGAACTTCTGGATTATTATTCTGTATTTCTCTCTTCATTCTATGACTTAAATGAGATTTTACCCGTTCTTGTAGATCTAAAGGAATCTGAAAAGACCATGAACAAATATGAGACCCACAAGTTAATTTATATACAAGCAAATACACACAAAACTGACTGAAATTGTGAGAAATCATTTATTTCGAGGTAAAATTCAATGTGTACATCAGCAATAAATAGTGGAATTAATTAATTGCTATATTTAAGATACTTTTGTTTACATTTTTACGTGACTCATACATTACTGGAGGTTCTGTAACCAATAGAGTTACAGACCCACAAGCCATTTGGTAAATAACAATTTAACCTGATCACTACCGGCTAAAAATTTCTGCATAGCCAATGCAAGTCTTACTATATTCCGTTCCAAGAATAAAACTAGTAGATGAAATACATGCCATAAGAACTTTCATAAATGCACGTAGTTTAACTTAAGAAACATAAAGCCTGTTACTTTTGATACATATTTAGTTTTTTGCATTATCATCTTTAATATCTTGGAAAATGGTATTTATAAGATATGATTACAATATTTATATTTGTTCCAGGTTTGAACTTCTTACTTTTTTATGTTTTAGTACATTATTTTAAAATCTCTAAAAACTTTTTATCATCAACAAAATGCAAATTTTGTCTATTTTTTAATAATCACGTACTCTCCTTATGGTTTCAAGTAATATATAAAACCAAAAATAATATTTTTAAGTAAACCTAAACAATAAATGAAGTATTTTATATTTTTAAATAGGATTTCACATTATATATGTACATAAAAAACATTTTAATTTTGTTTCATAAATATATATTTTTATTTCAAGTTTATGTTTCATTGTAGCCGTACTTTTGTTTACTGTGCTGAAAAAACCGTGAGGTTAGCAGTGTTAACTTCCTACATATGCCACAAACTATCACACCTGTTGGGGGTCACACTCATTCAGTCCAGTGCAGGTGCACTTGAACATTACTGTAGATATGATAGTAAGAAAGCTTTTCAGTACTTGAATATCATTTCTTGGAACTTTCAAACAAGTTTATTTCAACACATGTCCTTGTATGTTGTTTCACTATACAGACAAAACTTTAATTGCCACTACTAGTGAATGTATGTAATATCTTATCATACAGGTGCTTTGAATAACACTGCCTGACCCTAGTTACATGATACGTCCTGTTACAAGAGATTACCAAAGGATACAGACACCATAAATTACCAAGACAAAAAAAAAAAAACTTTACAACACTTAAAAGATTAGTCTAGGTCACATTCTTCTCATTATAGGCAAGATTTATATTGGAATTCAAAAGAAATATTAACCAATATGTCAAGTTATTAGTCCAAACATGGTAGAATAATATACTTGAGTTTATTTGGAACTTTGCCCTAAAATTAAATTATATACAGACTTAAACACACATACACATATAAATACAGAATATTTAGGACATTAGATGTTTGTAAACTCAAAGCATGGAAGTTTCTATACGGTTGCATTCCGTCAAGCAAATAATTTCTAATGGCTATTAAAATGCGAATTTACCTTTGTGGTAAATCAAAATATTAATAAAAAAAAGGTATGAATATATCTTACTGAGCTGTACTTGTGAGAAACAAAGTTTGAAGGTTTACACTGAAGGAGTTGCACAGCAGTGTTACAGTCATTCCTATACTGGTCCTGAAAAGTAAATGAAGACTTTATAACATTAAAAATAAAGAACTACACATCAGAAACAAAAATAAGCACTAATATGAGCATTATTTCTAATTCCAGGTTATTTGGAGTGGAAGTCAGAACTGTGTATATGCTATCATTTATTAATAGTATTAACAAGAACAGTGTTTCCAGTTCCAAATACAGAACTTTGTAGATACAAATAGGTATTGATCTGGATAATGCTAATACTTCCAGTTTGTGATAGTGCATGTACCAATCTACAATTATTTTGTCCATTATATCTACCTACCCATCCACAGATCAAGTGTATGTATATTTTTATAGCAAAGCTATTAAGGCTATCTGCTTTCATCCATAATTTTGAACTGCTGACCAAAGAGAAGGCTACCAATCAGCAGCACCCTACTATCCATGCTAAGGGATTGACTGTCACTCTTATAATGCACCCACAGCTTAAAGTATGGGGAATATTTTATGGTGTCACATGGATTTGAACTAGCCCAAAATCCAGAATTTAACCACAGAGCCAATCCACACCCCAAGTCAAGTGAAATGTTGTAGATTAGGAGTTAAGATACAGAATGACTACTGTAAATGACTAAAAAACTAATTAGGCCAGACGTATTTTATTTCTACTAAAATTTTCCAATGAAGCTAAGGGTTGGATGAGGGAAAAAAAATTGTGCCATCGGGTACTAGTTTGCATGTACTTTAGGTTTTCTGAAACCCCCTGACCGTGACATTCTTATCTTCATTCAATGTTCAGTCTATCAAGTCACCAATAGTTTCATCCAAATTAATTTTTTGTATTGAATGTCTCACAATATCTACGTTTTTCCTTATAATTACCAAGATCCATACCTCCATTTTGCAGGTGACTCATGAGACACACTACCGTTTCATCCACTCTGCGCAGTGAAAAATAATGTAAATTGATTGTTTTTTCCACTTGTGAAATAGCATTGTAAAAATATACACCCAAGATTGTGGTGCATGTCTGCATGTAAAAAATTGCACAAATTTCTTAATGCATTACGGTATATGTGTTGCAACAATGTTCGATCATTTTACCATGCTACTTTTGATTTTTTTTTCTCACAAACAAAATGCTGCCTTGGAAATTTAAAAAACAGTAAATCAGATTTATTTTTCTCCCTCAGAAACATCAAATCCCAAGTCAGAAATAAAAAAGGAACTAAAAATTTTTTAAGTCTGCGAGATCATAGAATGAAAAATAAAATAATCCTGGCCTTATGGTATCATGATGAAACATTAATTTCACCTACTTGATTTTTCATCATATATAATAGACCTAAAGAGTACTTTTTAATACACTCTGTTAGTTGGTATTTTGAAATTTATGAAACAAAAACCTAAGACTGGCTTACATTTTCTTCTTCTAGCTCAGTAATAGTGAATCGAGCTTCAACTAATTTTGTTGTCATGTCAGAAAGATCTCTTGTTAAAGCAGCCTTCTCTGTTTCATACTTGTCCACCTAAAAAAAGTTGAATTTATCAGTGATGACTGAGATTGGAATAAAAACTGAAACTAAAAGTTTGTTGTACTATGTGCAAAGCTACAGGAAGATTATCTGAACTACCCATCCCTAATTTTGAAGTGATAGACTATAGAGGACATCTAGTCACAACCATTCAATATAAATATTTCTATTATATACTTAAAGAGCACGTTGTTCATACTATGTATGAATTTGTTAAACATATTTAAGAAAATAAATCCCACTATTGTCAGACTAACATCACTCATGTGGAGAATGATTTGTTTGCAGTAATGGAATAGAAACCACAATAGCTACTTCTTCTAGCTGATAATACAATCTATTGTTACGACAGCGGTAGTCACGCGATGCTGGAAGCATGCATGCTGGAGTTTCTAGAAGTATCATGACTGTTCCTGGCAACTCTAGTCTTTTCCAGGCACCCTCCATTTTTGTATATAAGCCCAGCAAATAAAGCAGAGATATGATTGCAGATAGACAGATATAGAGACAGATAATTGAGTCAAATGAGCAGTAGTGACCGTAAGTAAAGTGCATGAATCGTTGTGAATTATAGCATGTGTTTAAGTTAAAGTGACCGTGGAAATTCTGTGTATTGCAAAGTTGTATTGAGAAAGAATAAACTAGTTTTATTTAAGAAAGGACTTGTATCGCTGAAGTTCCCCGGGAAGAATTTATATCGGAAATTAACAAATGACCAGAGACGTAACACTATTTTTTAAAATGTGACACACACACACATATATTTAATAATTAAGCATTCTGAGAAGTTGTAGTTTGAAGTTTAAATTCATATTTATGGCAAAACTACTAAATCTATCTGCCACTCTCGCTAATTTTGAACCACTGATCAGAAGCAAGACAGCCAGTCAACAGTGTAACCTACCATCCCCAGTAAGGGATTAACTGTCACTTTTATTATGCACCAATAGCATAAAGTGCAGGAAATATTTTGTGGATCTCACAAATTTCAACCTGGTTAATTAGCTCTGAATTCCAGAGCCCTACAACAGGGCTAACCTGTACCCACTGTAGTTCAAGTTTTCTGTGTGAACTTTCATTAAGAAATGCTCAAAATATTTCTAATACAACTAGAATAACTAATGTCTTTTTGACAAAGTCCAAAAAATATTTTTTGTGTCTAATTTTCTGATAATAAGACCAACAACCTTCCATCTATTATCTGTTGCAGAGACTCCCATACACTTTTTTGCCCTTATAAGTTGCTTTGGTATCAAATTATTATTGATATATCATACCATTTTTCCAATCTTGTTGCACATAATAGTACAATGTTTCATTATTGTTAATTTGGACAGAATACTGGTTACAACTAAATGGATACCATTTCAATTTACAAACTTGTAATAATACAGTAAAATTTAACCAGAGATAGTAAGTCCATGTCCTGATTAACCAGAAACATTCTAAAGCATAGGGGTGGACTCAACCACATCCCCTGAAATCTCCCTATGGATTTATATGTTTCACAAGATCAGTCATGGACAAAGGAAAAGTGAACTTCTGCTAAAGAGAAAAACCACTGATTTATGGAGTCTTGTTTTCTAAGTTAAATATATTTTAACATACATATACAACATTTCTTGGAGTGGGTAGCAGATACATTTCACAAGAACATTTTCACACCTTATTTGCTTGAATTATGTCTACAAGACAAAAGTGACAACACTTTAACAAGATAGTAAGAATAAGAAATAATACAGTGTTCATTTCCCTTGGATTCTATTTTGCTGAACAGTAATAACTGAGTTGCATTGTCTTTCTCATTCAATCCTTTCATCAAGAAACATGCTGAATACGTGTTAACAACCTATATGAGGACAATTTAAAATCCTCTCAAAGGCAAACAGGAACTGCATATTAAGGAAAGTTTACTGATCAACAGACATAAACCTGGATTGAATGAGTTAAACAGTGCAGTTTGTGTATTATTAAATCTATAAGTGTTAGAGATGCTTTAACATTACTAAACAGTAGTTTATACTCACAATTTTTAAAAGTTTGTCTTCAAGTCCTTGGTTTACTTTTTGAAGTTTCTTATGGCTTTCATGTAACCTGTAGCAGAATAAAATTCTATCTCATAATTCTCCTATCAAGGAAAGGAAAATTAAACATTTATCTCACAGATGTTAACATTTTCTTACACTGAAATTGTATTTCTGTTAGGTACTTACGTTCTCTTATCCAAAGCTATCTTGATCCTGGTCTGCCTTCTAAACATTGCTAAAAACGTTTTTTTACTAACAGTGCATACAGTCTTTTATACCATATCAGTTTCACACTATTTCAGAACATGTGCTGATCATGTGGCTACCTTCCACCAATCATACTACACCATCTATACTAGTGCAGCTAGCTCCCTCTATTATTCTAGAAAAACCCTCACTTTCAAGAATTGGCAGATACAAACTTAAAACACCGGCATATCAGTGGGGGTAAGTACCTATCAGAAATACCTTTTCAGTGTAAGAAAATGTTAACTTCCTAAACAGTCTCACCCAAAGCTAGAATTCCACATTGCAAAGGTGGAGGGGCTGGTGAAGGTACATCAATATCCAATCAAGTGGAAAGCAACCACACCGAAAGAGCACACCTGAGGGATATTGCAATACTTCTGAAACAGGTATGCTCTTTGTCCAGTAATCAACACAGTAACACAAAGAGGGTGGAACTGAATTGGCAGGTACCAATGCATTCAGTAAAGAGACATACAGCACTAAATCAGTGCAGAAGTGCTGTATAACTATGACTAGAAACAGCAAGGCATTGACAAACATGGAAAGCTAGTGTGCAAGCGACAACAGGCCCATATAAGTATGTGTCAAGTTTAGGGTTACATTGGAGTATGTCAAGTGTGGTCCATCCAGGTAAAACATCAGGTGGATATTGTGATTGTGAGGGTTTTCATAACCAGCCCATTTTCAACATACATATCATACTTCATCCACATATGTAGCAAGACGTAGTACCAAACATAGTGATAATGAGCCAAAGTATGGTGCCTGAGATAAATAAAACAACTATACATGACTAGGACTGAAGGACTATGAACTGTATAAGAAGAGGCCACGTGCAGTCTACCTGGGCAAAACCATCCAGGGGAAGCACCTTGGGTTATGAGGGATTATGCCAAGTGCGGTTCATCTGAGCAGAAAATATCCAGTGGAAGCACACTGCATAAGAAATTTCTGAACAACAAATGCTATCTTCCCTGGCAAAAATAACCAGAGGAGGCACCTTGGATCCTGAATATTATGTTATTGCATAATCATTGTTTGGTATAACAATGAATATAATTATGATAGCCCTCCTATTCCTGGGTACACAGGATCTATACAGTTCCATTTTGTTTGTTGTACAAAACTCACTCAGAAGGAAACTTCCTTGGACCACCACTCCAGCAATTGGGAACTGGAAGTGGTAAGGACTCTTGTCCTCCTAAAAAGCAGAAAGACCCCAGTTGTAGTAGTTATGGGTCAGTAGGGATGGACAGAAATGCCCACCTGCTTTACTCATGAAGTCCTTGAATGACAGCCCTTTATATATGAAACAATGAACATTGATAAAAAAAAAATTATATATATACACATACCATTAGACAAGCTGCCAGTGTTCTTAAAGAAACACTCCATCTCAACAGTGAGCATTATAGAAGTATTCATATTTAGTGCTAATATAATATTAACCAGGCAACAACAGGTGGGAACCTAAGATATAATGAATTTCAACAAAGAATAGATAAAAACAATAATATGGCAACTTAAATCAGTCAAAGGCAAACAGATGTGTGTAGAATCTCCACAGGAAGAAGACAATACCCAACAATGGAACACACAGCTAGGTCATGCAGATAATGTGCAACAAATATACTGTGAGTCGCCTGCATATCAGCCTGAATGATCACCGCCAGTGAGGGTAATAGATGACAGATCATGGAAAACAGAGGGATTCCATGGAACAAATAGATGTGAACAAAAATCATGAAAGGAAGCAGTACAAGCCACATGACATCACAGGAAACAAACTGGACAAAGAAGTTGATCTGGATCCGAAGGGGAGTACCAGTGGGAAATAGAAGGTAAGGAAATAAGAGAAAAGGCCAAAGAACCTTCCCGAGCAGCCCATGTCTTGGGAAGCAAGGCCCGATCCAGATAGAGGATAACATAAGAGGAATGATAAAGAATGCGGGAAACATTAATGGCATAAATATTAGAAAAATGATGACTACAAGCCAGGAGGAGGAAAAAATAGGTCTTAAGGTAAATATGGTACAATGCAATATGGTTGCAATGGGTTTAAAGAGAGAAACAGACAGGACATGAAGGACAATATTAAGATCCCAATCTGGTAGAACATAGGGGCATGGTGGACAGACTAGATGAAAGGAATGGAAAAGGTGGGAAATAACCGGGGTGGAGAAGGCTTTCTGGAAATGGGAGAAATGGAAGGTGTTCAACAGGGCAGTCCTATAAGGAGCAACAGATGACACAAACAAACCCTGATCAAACAACTAGGCAAAGAACTAGAACAGATGAGGAACAGAAGGACAGGAATCTCAGTGAAAGAACCAAAGTCTGAAGGTAGACAAATGCCTCTGGTACACAGACAAGAAGGAAGGTCAATGGTACAGGAAAGGACAGATGCTCTACAGGAGGGGTGAGTCCCTGAGCTGAGGCAAGGGATAGGAAAAAAAAACATGCATGAAGATGGAGTTTGGTGACATCAGAATGAACTACATCCAATCTTGGTTGTCAGAAGAGCAACTGGGACAGACATAAAGGCAGAGGCTGTTGCTACAGTAAGGGCCAGAGCAGAGGAAACAACATCTGAGCCAGCCAATATGAAGCAACTAGCAGGACATGACAAGGAGTTGTCTGGATAAGGACTTTGGAGAGTAGTCTGATTGGAGGGTAGGCATATAGATTGAATGCATCAACCCTCACAGCTGAGGGTTGTGGAACTGGAGATCAAAAGGAAGGAAGTTTGGCATTCCAGTGAGTGGCAAATGCATCTAAGGCAGTGTTCCTAGCTGAGAACACACCCACCAAAATACCTGTGGATGAAGGGACCACTCTGTGGGCAGAACCTGGTTGGGACAAGATAAGTGATCAACCACAAGATTCATAATTCTGAGAACATGACATGCCAGGATCATCATGTGGTCATGGTCCCAGTACAGGAGATCCAGAGTCTGAAAACACAGATATCTGGACTTGGTTCCCCTTTCTTGGTGATACAGCTGATGACAGTGGAACTGTTGGAATGAACCATAACCACCCACCCCTGCAGGAGCTGGAAGAAATGATACAGAGCCCAACAAACTGCCAAACATTCTAGGATGTTGAAATGGAGAGTAGCCTCCTTTACTGACTACCAACCAAAAATCTCTCGGGAAATGAGGAAAGCCCCCCCCCCCAACCCACCAAGGATGCAGCTGTGAACAGGTGAGATTCAGGATGAGGTGGAAGAATAGGAACTCCCACTTTGGTATGTTCCCTGTCGAGCCACCAAGCAAGGCCAGCCCTGATCCCAGAGGGAAGAATGATGTGATGGTCCAAGGGATCGTGGGAGAATTTCCACTGGTCGAGAAACATCCATTGAAGGAAAGCCATGTGTGCCAGATCAAAGGGAATGAGAGCTTCCAAGTGAACTTACATCCTCCAAAAAGATAGAACCTCTCACACAGTGAGAGAAGGAGAAAAGAGTCTCTGTGACCGCTCACTCCATATCCCTGAGCCAAAGTAGAGAAGGCTGGGCCCGACTGAGATGGGAGTTGAATGAATAAAATATTGCTTTGGGGTAATAACAGACTTCTTCAACTTGATTAGAAACCCCACCTGAATAGCTTCTCGAGGAAGTATGCAGGCATGAGTTACTGACTGGACATGGGAAAAGGAGAGAAGTAGCCAGTCATCCATGTAATGGTGAGTCCGAAGGCCCAGAGAGTGAAGATGAAATGAAAAAAACATACTACATGACAAAACACCTACAGAGCTGAAGAAAGACTGAAGGTAGTGCCCAGAACTGGAAAACACAACCCTCGTGGATAAACCAAAGTAAATGATATGACTTCGGAGCAATTGGAATATGAAAATAGGCATCCATCATATTGAATTGGTCATCCAAAGTCCTGGGGGGAAAAACCCACCAAAGTGAGAGGTAAGACTCCATGGTGAAGCAAGGTGTCTCCAGATAGGTATTCAGCTGGGACAAATTTTGATGGGTTTCTGAGCTCCTGTCTTTTGGGGAATAACAAATAGACAGAAGTAAAATCCCATTTGAGTGGGCACCACCCATTTCATAGCTTCTTTGTGTAGGAGGTCTTGAACAGACTTGACTAGATGACTGGATGAGGTATGTTCCCAAACAGGAGGGAAGGACACTGGGGAAGAGGAGAGAGAGGACAGAAACTGAAGGAAAAGAACCTCTGACAAAATCCTTACAACCCATTGATTTGTTCAGTAGAGTTACCAAATGGTTTGAAACTGTAGCAACCTGGATCCCACCTGCCCTGGAAAGAACATCCCACTACCTATAATGGCTAAAATGTGGGTAAGGAGGGGAATGTCTGGAGAAGGGTAATGGATGGGGAGAGGAAGAAGGGGCATGGAGAAAACAGACAGGTGAAGGCTGGGCAGGAACAGCAGGATGAAACAAACGAGAGGCCAGGGATGACAAGAATGAATGTAACCTCGCCACATCGACCCTTGACTCCAAAGACTCAGGACAACCACCAAAAACTGTGAAGAAACAGGGCCTGAGGAAGATCCTTCAAAGAAGAAAGGGGAAGATGCACCCCCCTCAAGTAATGCATACCTCCCTAGAAAATACCAACAACATAACATCCAGGTGTTGAGAGACAGCATTGATGCTGACAAAATAGCCATTGTAGACCACAGGTGGGACCAGAGTTCATCAGAGAAGTGATTGGGTTACTGGAAAAAGGCTTGAGATGACAACTGTAGGGAGGAAATGGTACGTAAAAGGGAGGTCAGGACAGGACATATCCTCAAAAACTGGGACTCATTAAAAAGGATCAAAGACCCTGGATTAGA